ATAACATGAAATAATAATATAAAAAACTGTTTGGTAAAAGAATATATAAAAATATTATAAAAATTGTAAAATCTAAATTTGCCATTATTGAAATCGCAAGTTCAAGTTAGCTTGGAATCAGCCTTTCTCTCAAACTAAAATCGTTAGAAATATTCATCAAAACATTGATAAAGTAGAAATTAGATAATGTTACGTTATGATGATTATAACAATTAATAAATTGGTTGTGTAACTATAACTAGTGATCCTTTAATAAATGCGTCAAAAATGCCAATTTTTCATTAAGACTATTTGATCTACAAAAATTTCCCCCGATTTAGCATAGTAATTTTCTCTGGTTGTTACATGAATCACGAATTAATTTATATAATATATAGTCAATGAGATATAAATATTCTGTATCTATGAAAAAATCAAAATTTTCTCTATCCCTTTCACCATTCATTTAATAGACATTCTACCAAAAATTTTTACTAATGTTTCAGCTCAAAGAAGAGTAGCAGATGTAATGTAAATAGCTGAAAATATTTGTAAACTTGAGTAGATTTACAATATTTTCAGTGATACTCAGATTCGCTTTAACATGTACTAAAAATTGGAAAGCTTATAAGATGAAGTTAAATCTAACAGAGATAGAATTATAAATATAAAAGAAAATGCCAAATATGTTTAAAATTACAAAGAAAAAAATTGAGATAACTTATCAAAAATAAAGAAGTTGTTTGCTACGATAAATCTAAAAAATCTTTACTTCTCTTTAAATATCTGAATTTATACAAATAAATATATGATTATATAGAATTTAAATCAGCTAATGCAAAATGATAAAAGGAGGTTATCAAAGTTCAAACAATAGAAAATCTGCGTAAAAATCTTAAAAAAAATACAAATTTATATGATGAGAATTACATTAAAAAGTTATCTTTTATCTTATCAATCAAACTCAATCGTTACAAAAGTATATCATTTATTTAGCATAGGTTGCAGTCACTAGAGTTTTGTGTACTAAGATATGTAAATATCTTAATAGATACTATTACTTCGTATCAGTAAATGTGCAAAGTAATTCGCTAGTATTTTTGCTAATATATCAGTTATTATCTTCCAAGATAATAAGAAAAAGATCAGACTTGAAGTATCTATAATAGGTCATATATTCTGTATATTACAATTTGTTAATGAACTTACAATTATAGCAGACTATAATTTTCTTATAAGATCCAAGCAAAAATTAATTTTATCAGTATATTTAATGATAAATCCAAATAAATCTAATGATAAATTGTGAACAGAAAAGTTAACAATTTTTATACATTCTCATAGTCTTTTAGTATATCTTCACTTACATATATATAAGATCTAAAAAGCCTTATCTTAATTTTCAATATGATGATGTGTTAAAAATAAATGAAACAATTTGACTAATATAAATTTTATTAGTGAATAAAAAGCCAGATAAGAATCTCAGGCATTTAAAGAATATAAAATTCTATTATCAACTTTGACTTAGATTTTTTAAGAATATAAATATATGCTTTAGAATAATTAAAATACAAACTAGTTAAAATAAATATAGTAATATTAATTAATAAACTCATTAGTATTACTTTGCTAATTAACTATTTTGATATACATTTGAATATACAAGACAAAATTATAAATTTAGAATTAACTGCTTAAAATTTTTGCTATTCAAGAAAAGCTTTTTGTAAAATTTAGTACTGTGATTTTGATTTTAAAAAAAGGTTGATACTTATTATATTGATATACTTATGAATCTATTTGAGCATATGCAGTTTGATATAATAGAAAAAAAGGTCAAAAAATTAAAAAAAAAAGAATAAAAAATCAAATAGTATAAAAAATTAATACATACCCATTTTAAATGTTTTGTATTATGGTTCTGGATCAAAACCTACTATAATTTATATACATATTCTTTTAATATTATGACCAGATGATAATTTTAATGATCACAGATCTACAAATGTGTGGTAAAATATGAATGTCAAAAATGTAAAACATATTGAACATGTTTAACATGTTTAATATAGTTAATATCAGATATATCTAACATAATTAATATAGTAGATATAGTTAACATAGTTAATATATTAGATATATCAAAATATGTAATAGAATAGATATAAATACAAGCCCTTTTATCACTTAGAAAAAGACAGACCGATGGCCATATAGAAACCTCTCTCTTGTAAAAGATAGCGTAATACTACTCTTCATCTTGTGTACCTTTATCTCTTATTTGTATTTTCTTATTTCTTTCATATATTATTATCTTATTATTTTTTTTATTTCAATAAAGTATTTCTTGTTTTTTACCTAAAACACTTAGTAAATTATTATAATAACTCTTGACTTATAATTAAGCCACTCGCATTTAATAAATTTAACTTAACTTAATAAACTGGTGGTAAAACAACTCAGACTTAGTATGAAACTAATTAAAATTATACTTAGACTATAAAAGAATCAACCTTCTAACACTATATCTAACAGTTGCAACCTGAAAAGATTGCACGTTAACATTTAGTGATGATGATAGGATCCTTTTTTTCTGTTTACATATTACAACAAAACTGAAATAACTATTGATATACTCTCATGAATATATTTCATACATTTGACGATCTACTCAAGTATCAGAAAATTTATCATTAACTGTATGTAAAAATTGATCATAATATTAGGACTGCAAAACCACTTACTGAAGATTCTTCTTGTCTCATTTGTAACTCTAGTACTGATTTTTTTAAACTCTCAGAAGCCTTTTAAACTTTTTTGATTAGGCTGTTGACAACCTTGAAGTACAGTGATATACAGATAAAGCTGTGATTGCATTTGAATAAGCTATTGCTGTGCCATCTATTGATCTCCAATGAGTGTACTTTTGATAAATTTTGTATTCTTTACATTATAATTGACTATCTTCTACTATCTTAAATCAAGCTGATAGATCTTATGTTAAAGATTTAAAGAAAAATCAATATTAAAAAACTACACAAATGATAAATCCAAGAACTATTACTACTATTCAGTTAAGCGTAAGTAAATAACTTTTGGCCAAAGAAGAGAAAAGGAGCTCTCAAAATTTTAGAGACAATTTAGATATCACTAACCTAGACACAGATTCTAAACAAAAACCTGATGTTAGAAGTAGCAGTCTTTCTCATCTTAGTAATACTAATAGTGCAAGACTAGGCAGTAGCTATAGTTTTAGTAATGCAGGATTTGACAATTGAGGCACTAGTTTTAAAAATAGAAAACTATATTAATTTTACATTATTTCTGACTCTGAAAATAAGGATAACGATAATGCTAAATCTTTTGAAGCAAAAGATAAACATAAACAAATAAATAACACCATACAAATAGAAATAGATGATAGAAAAAGTCATAAAAAAAGTTATTGCAGACAGTCACGCTAATCTTTTTATTATGATAGTTTCTCTTCTAGTTCAGACTCTAATGATAGCTTTTCTAAAAATAAAGACGAAGTTGACCTAATAACTGAAAATATTAATAATGTTGATTTGCCTAATGAACCTCAATTCTTTCAAATATTGAAGAAATTACAAGGCGTCTTACATTCTGTAGGATTCTCAAATTCAAGAGAAGCTAGATTTGTAGATCTCCCTACATTCAAAGGAGATGACCAAGATCTTAGCAACTGGTTGAAATGATACAACTATGCATGTGAAGCTAATTGCATTTCTGATAAAAGAAAATTGACTCTGGTATCATCCTTCATGAAAGGATCAGCTCTCACTTAGTTCAATAAAATGAAATTTAAAAAGGACTTACGCTATTGGAATAATGATAGTGATCGATAACACAAACATCAATCCTTTGTCTATCATTTTCTTAAATATTATTGTATCACTCATAGATAAACACTGTTAATGTTACTCTTTTCGTCGAATAAGTTAACTATGATTTGAAGTCAGGGAGGCAATAGCTATGACTTAAATCCAATCAACT